TGTCTATCACCCAGCCACCCCATCCCTCCCAGCCCCACTTCTTTAGGCAAACTTCAGCCAAGATGCAATATGGGTCAGGGCGATTTTTTAAAAATCTGAGGTTGATGAGCTTCCAAAACCTGAGTAGTAAATATGATTTATAAAGGTACCCACCTCTGGAGAAAAACTGAGTAACAAAATCCACGTTCTCCCAAATATGTCAATTATTCCATAGGCCATTTCTTAAAGTAAGTCTGCATCCTATCTGATTTTATAAACACAGAATATCCAAACATGTTTCTAAAATTTATTTTACGGTACCAGTGCCTGGATCTCTTTAGAACAATATGCTGCTATTATGCCATCCTTAAAGGTTTGGACATTTAGATTTTTGTAGTTTGCTTACTTTTAAATTCAGTTGGCCACACTGCTTTTGTTATTCTGATTTTTCATACCTCTTATATAAAACCATTGTAAATATGGGATGACAAAATGGAATTAAATTATCTGACATCCTTATACATTCAAATGCTCACAAATTCTCACATGTATGTTAACATGTAAAGTCTGAAACTGCGAAGATAGTTGTTATCAGCATTTACTTTTTTTTTTTTTTAAAGATTTTATTTATTTATTTGAGAGAGAGAGAGACAGAGAGCATGAGAGGGGAGAGGGCAGAGGGAGAAGCAGACTCCCTGCTGAGCAGGGAGCCCGATGCGGGACTTGATCCCGGGACTCCAGGATCATGACCTGAGCCGAAGGCAGTTGCTTAACCAACTGAGCCACCCAGGCGCCCAGCATTTACTTTTTAATATAGTTCTAATAAAGAAAAAAGCACCAGACTGGGAGTGGAGAGACATGAGTTCTATTTTCAGCTCTGGCGCTAAGTAGTGACAGAAGTCACTTACAAAAAACAAAAAAAACAAATACTTTATTGAAATACGATTGATATTTTAAAAGTTGTACATACTAATGTATACAACTTGATGAGTTTGGAGACAAGTATACACCTGTAAAATCATCACCACAGTCTATGCCATAAACATATCTATCGCTTCTACAAGTTTCCTCCAATGCTCTTTAGTTACTATTATTATTATTTCATGATAAGAACACTTAACATAAGATCTACCTTCTTTTTTTTAATACTTCTGATTATAGTTTATTATAATTGGATACAAATTAAGACGAGTCCTCCAAAAGAGACCATAGTACAAGGTCTGGGAGGGTCCCCAATGTGAAGTTTCTGTGTCCTCAGGACACAACACCCTTGCAGCCCATCAGTGCACAGGAAGCTCACTCAAGCCTCAGTGTCCTGAGTTTTTATTAGGGCTTTATTATATAGGCATAATTACTTGAATAAGATCTACCTTCTTAATACATTTTTAAGTATACAATACAGTATTGTTAACTATAGGCAATATGCTGTACAGTAAATCTGTAGTACTCATTCATCTTGCATAACTACAACTTTGTGCCCTTTGACTAATACTTCCTTGTTTTCCCTCCTCCCAGCTCCTAGTAGCCACCATTCTACATGCTGCTTCTATGACTTTGACTCTTTTAGACTCCTTATATAAGTGAGATCATATAGTATTTGTCCTGTGTCTGGCTTATCTCACTTAGCAAAATGTACTCCAGGTTCCTCTATGTCTCAAAAGGCAAGATTTCCTTCTTTTTTTCAGGCTGAATAATATTCAATTGTATGTATATGACACATTTTTAAAATCTATTCATCCATCAATGGACAGTAGATTGCTTTCAAATCTTGGTTGTTGCAAATAATGTTGCAATGAACATGGGAATGCAGATACCTCTTCAAGATCCTGATTCCAATTATTTTGAATATTTACCCAGATGTGGGATGCTAGATCATACGGTGGTTCTATTTTTAATTTTCTGAGGAACCTCAGAAAATTTTCCATAGTGATTGCACCAATTTTCATTCCCACGAACAGTGCACAAACGTTTCCTTTTTCCACATCCTTGCCAACACTTACCTTTTGTGTTTTTGATAATAGTCACAGGAGAGCCATTTTTAACATTACTTGTGTGTGTGTGCTTGTTTTTTCATTAATGATAACAGGGAGTGAAACTAAATTCATTTTTTCAGCCAACAAATAATCATTGAATGTATATTATGTTTAAGGCCTGGTGCTAAATGCTGGGCAATGCACAGGATTGCAAGTGGGAACCAAAACCAGTCTTTGTTCTCTAAATATCTCCTCTAATATATTAACTTCTCCTTCTTATCTGTATTCCATTTCAGGTTTCCAACTATCCAGACATACTCAAGCTGTTTAAGACCATACTTACCAACTTCCTGATAAAACTTATTTTTCTTTCCTGTATATTTGTCTCTAAATGGCTACCTATTTCCAATGATCCAGTGTAGAAATTCTGGAATATGTTTGACTCCTCCTACATCTCCATTTGACATTTCCAAACTTCGACCAATGATTCATCTAAATTTATCTTGGATACACTTTTCTTTCATTCCAGTTCTCCCTAATCTAGCCTTGGACCTCATCTCTTAAGCACCAGATTGCTATTTTTGCTTACCTATAGATTCCCCAGCTTTTAGGCACTTTTTTCTCCAATCCAATCTTTACATAATTTCCTAAACTAAGGTTCATAAAAACCACCTAAAATGGTTCTCAGTGCCCTTTACTTAGGTCCAAGTTCCTTTGTCTGGCTTCTAAGGTCTGCCACTACCCTTTCTCCTCTATCATCCCTGTGTCAGTCCCGTTTGCTTACCAACACACCCATTTGTCAAATCTATGCCCTTGCTTATGTCGCTTCCCAGACTGGAGTGGCATTGCTTCTTTTCTTATTAAAAATTAAATCATCGGGCGCCTGGGTGGCTCAGTTGGTTAAGCGACTGCCTTTGGCTCAGGTCATGATCCCAGGGTCCTGGGATCAAGTCCCACATCAGGCTTCTCCCTCTCCCCCTCACCCTGCTTCTCCCTCTCCCCCTCACACCTGCTTCTCCCTCTCCCCCTCACCCTGCTGGTGTTCCCTCTCTCGCTGTGTCTCTCTCTGTCAAATAAATAAATAAAATCTTAAAAAAAAAAATTAAAATTAAATCATCTTTCAAGACTCAGCTCAAGAGTCAAGAATCAATTCCTCCTTCTCTTAAATCCTATTGCATTTATAGTGTATATTATACTGATTAACACAATTGTTTTTTTTTAATATTTCAAGTTTTTACTTAAATTTTAGTTAGTTAACACTAGCATAACATTAGTTTCAGGAGTAGAATTTAGTGATTCATCACTTACATATAACAACCAGGGTTTATCACAAGTGCCCTCCTTAATGCCCATCACTCATTTAGCCCATTCCCTGCCCACTTCCTTTCCAGCAACTCTCAGTTTGTTTGCTATAGTTAAGAGGCTCTTATGGTTTGCCCCTCTCTATCTCTCTCTTTTTTTTTTTTCACTTATGTTCATCTGTTTTGTTTCTTAAATTCCACATATAAGTGAAATCATATGGTATTTGCCTTTCTCTGACTGACTTATTTCACTTAGCATAATATACTCTAGCTCTATTCACGTTGTTGCAAATGGCAAGATTTCATTCTTTTTCATTCTTTTGATGGCTGAGTAATATTTCATTATGTGTGTGTGTACATATACACACCCCGACATCTTCTTTATCCATTCATCAGTCGATGGACATATGGGGAGGAGCATAGGGAGATAGGTGGGGAGAAGCAGAGGGAGAGAGAATCTCTAGCAGCCTCCAGGCCCATTGTGGAGCCCAGTTCAGGGCTCCACACGGGACTTGATCCCACAACCCTGAGATCATGACCTGAGATGAAATCAATAGTTGGATGCTTAGCTGACTGAGCTACCCAGGTGCCCAATTGAGTTTCAGTTTATTGTAGCTTATACTTGGCCCACTCACATTATTCTCTGAGAGGCAGAGCTCCCTGAATTGCAGGCATAATGCCTAAAAGAATAAAACTGGTGTCTAGAGAGATGATTTTACCTGTCTAACCTTAAATGGGGTGGGGGTGTGGTGGTAAGTGAGAGTGTAGGTTGGAAGGACAAAGAATACAAAACTATTATTAGATGTCTCATCTAAGATATTTGTAAGGAGAGTAGAGAGTGAAACACCTCCACAAATTCTAGTTTGTACCTAGGATATAATATTTGTATGCAGAAAATGTGAGAACTCAGATTCTTACTATTGATCATTTGGGGGGGCTTATGATCAAATGAAGTCTAAAAGATAAAGTGAAATGTCAAAAAATCCATATTTTTTCATTTGTGAAATATAGTAGAGTGATAGATTACTGTTTCCTAAGAGGCATAGATCTCTTTTTGATTATTCTTTTTGTTACTAGAATAGTTTAACTTATTAAACTGAAGCAAAGTTTAACAAATTCTTGTTCTTTTTTTTTTTTAGAGGCACTAAAAATTATGTTAAATATAAAGTAAAAGAGCTTTAATATTAATTTTGTGTAATTTTCAACAGGTTAAATATACTTTAAAAATCATACCTGAAGTGAACTGAATCATTACTAATGGGCTTAAAAGCGTATAAAAGAAATTCAGTAAGGTTCATTGTAAACAGTAAACCAAACTCAGTAGGTTAGTACATCACCAAAAATATAAGCTCAATAATATCTTATGGAAGTGATATTAACCCTTTCAAGATCGCTTCTCATCTACCTCTCAATCCTTCCAGCTGAATTGTTCTCTAGAATGAGAACAATTAAAGAACGCTTGCCAGAATAACAATTACAGAACAATGACTATTTTGCACAAGGACCTTCCTTGAGGTCAACACGGGTTTCAACAGAAATCACTAACCACTTCCTTTAGTACTGCCAAGGAATTTTCCTTTTTTTTTACTGTGTCAGTTTCCATTACCAAATGATTAGACTGCAATTTCTATCATGCATGATTCATTCTGTTGAAGTATCATTCATAAAACAAACTGTAACCAAACAATATTTTCCATTACCTTGTAAAAAAAACTAAACAACAACACAACAAAATTGACCGGCTTACCATTTTCCTTCTTCATTTTCATATTGTTGAACAGTATATCCAAACATGTCCTCCATGGGGCCACTGAAAGTCATTGAATTTTTCACATCAACGTTGAATGATACGCAGAAGCCTAGAACAACTTTAAGAGAGAAAACAAAGTCCAGTTACACAGAGTTAACTGAGATTCCATAATGTTTTGAATTATGAAAGGCATGTTCAAAAGAGCAATGATGCTCAAAAAATGAGAACTGCAAGAAAGGTCTACAGTATTAATTGTATTACTGACTGAAAATAACAACTAAAGAATACAAGTACTAATATTCAAACAAAATCCTATAGAAATTTAGTAGCTGTACCATTCCCAGAGCTAATGACTTCAGAATATGAGAGAGCTGGCAAAAACTCATGCTTGTATATGCCTAATGTGGTTACAGATAGCTTTCCAGTAATGAGCCCTACAGTGAATCATGGTCACCAATGAAATGTAAACACCTTCATTTTCCTGTTTTCACTATGAAGGATGCAAGAATCACCCTTTAAATCCTCAGGGGAGGAAGCTTTCTCCTTGCTGCTTCCAAAGGGAATGCAAGCTGATTGCCTCCACCCAGAAATGGCTTCCTAAGCAGGCCTGAGATTTGCTCTGCTTCCCTCTCAATCAAGCAGTGGACAGAAAGCTTACCCTAATACACTAGAGCCTCTGTATAGTGTTGGTGGTGATAACCTCACAGGTTGCTGTCCATGATCTATCTAAATCACATGACATATCTAAAGAGCTTACTCAGTGCTTGACACACACTAGGTATTCAATGAGAGTTAATTCTCTTCAATTTCCTTAAAGTTCAGGTAACGAAAACCCTTTACAAAGTGAGACTCTCCCCTAAAAGGGTTCTGGATGGTGCCAAATTCTGTCAAATGGATGGTGCCAAATTCCATGTTTGGTACTACTTTTTAAAGTATACTTGTGAAGTTACAAAACATTCCTCTCCTAGATGCAACTGAGAATTCTTCCCAAAGAGCACTCCCTTATAAAATTACAAGCATCATAAGGCACATTCAGAGGTAATTAAATTCACTGTTCTTTATTAAAACCATGATACAGCTACACACATCTTGAAAAATTCTCTTTCCTTACTCATTATAAACCCTAAATCCAAACTCGAATTCATTCTATGCTCTAATTCATAATCTTCAATTTTAACATTATTGTTTCTTTGTTGCACAGGATTGTACTAATTTAGAGAAAATTTTGTTCTTAAAGAAAGATATTTATGTATACCTATTTATAAAGTCTTCCTTGATCTTTCCAACTGGAAATAATCTTTTTAGTTACTAAATCCTCCTCTTTCGTTTTTTGAATATCTCTCATGGAAATAATTATTAAATACTATTTTATTTACATTGTAATTATCTCTGTGTGATTTCTCCCCGCCTAGTTTGGAAAATTCTTAAAAGCAGGGACTCTCTTCCTTATCTTTCTTATCCCTTCTCAAAATCTAGCCTAACTCCTTGTACACAGATGGGCAATAACATATTTGTAGAATAAACACACTGAAGGAAAAAGTGTACCGGTTGAAGTTAGAGCTGAACTGACAACTATTTCATTTTAGCTAAGAAAGACTTAATGGAGATGGAAACTTTCAAGTTAGATTTTTAAAGGGAGGGAGAGATTCAAGTTGGCAGTGAGAAGAAAATATGTCCCAAGGATTTGGGAGGGTCTCTACAAGTAATAAGACATACAAGGGGACAAATACGGTTGCAAAATCATAGAGAGATTTGCCTGGCTCGTGTGGAAGATGCAGACAAAGAATGGAAGGCTAGCATAGGTCCATTTATGTACATTTCCTGCTCCTACTTCAAGTGTGATGGAGAACAGCTGGTTACCATCTTCTGTATAATTGCCTTTCACATATTTGAAGACAGTTTTAAACACGGTTTGCTCTACTCCAAACTAAATAGTACATGCTCCTACCCTTCTCTCACAGGTTTATTTTTTTGAAAACTTGCAACAGATTATCTTTGATATGACAGAGACACAAAGTAGTACGTCTACAACAGGATTTCTCAACTTTAGTGTTATTGACATTTTGAGTCAGAAAATGATTTGTTATGAAATTCTATACTTTATGTTGTAGCAGCATCTGTGGTCCCTGTCCACATGATGCCAGTAGCACTCCCTGAGTGATGGAGATCAAAAATGTCTCCAGACACTGACAAATTCTCCTGGGACCAAAACTGCCCAAGTTGAAAATGACCATTCTATAGATAAGGACCAGAACACCACCACCCATGATTTTGTTGAAGAAGATGATGGAAAAACAACTGGCCTGCAGACCAGCAGCATCTGCATCACCCGGAGCTTGTGAGGGATCCAGAATCTCAGGTTCCACTCGGATTTCCTGAACCAGTATCTCCATCCCAACAAGATCCCCGGGAAGTTCAATTCCTGTTAAGCTTTGAGAGGTGTAAGCCTGTAATATGGTAACCCTCTTTCATAATGTTGATGCAGGTGACATAATTTACCTAAATTAAAAGTACTCACCATCTTTTAGACCAAACGGGGAAAGGATTATCATTAGTCAGATTCAAGTTCACCTGCTCTTGAAATATTTTTCCAGCACTTTATTGTCTTTAATATATGTTCTCCCAAAGGCCATTCATGATACTCCTCAATATAAGACCGAGAGCTTTTGGTTTCCTTTTTAGGCCTGTTTATTCCACATGTTGTGTGGAATGTCCGGGGGGAGGGGGGTGTGCTGCACTTTTTTTTTTTTCATTTCCTGTCTTCAGAATTCTACAGGCAATTTGCCCAAAGTGATTGTAAATCAGTCTCTTTCATGTTTGCTAAGGCACCAAAGAGACTGAAGCACAGGAGATGACAAAAAAAATAGTTTACATCTTATTCTTTTGATTTAAAGAAGTGCACAAACAGTGAAAGCAGCTTCTTGTATTTTTGAGTTTGATGCTCATTTTGTTATACTAAGTTGTCTTGGAACTTTATGTACCAGAGGTAAAGTAAAAATCATACTTATTCTTCGTCAAAGTCAAAAAACAAAAACAAAGCTGAGGGGGCTTAAGGGGCCATATAGGGTGAAAATGATGGGAAATAAGACATAGACAATAGTCAGATGTCAAAATTAAGTTCTGATTTCACATGTACCAGCAAAAGAGGAATTTTTTTCCCTTAATAATAACATAATTACTATGTGTTATTCTTCACATGCTCCTTCTCATATAATTTCCCCACAACCTTACAGTTAGTGTTATTATCACTGCTATGCAAATGAAGAGAAGGAGGCTCAGGATAGCAGAGAAATTTGCCCACATTTCCCCAGGATTCCTAAAATTCACATTAATTTGATTTCTACATCTTATCGCTAAAACTGAAAAGGGCTAGGAGAAGGCAACGTTACTATTAGTCCATGTAATTACATCTTCTGAGAAGCAAAATTGGGAAAGAGGCCTTCTACAGTGGCCATGGCTAAGAAAATGGGGATGAGGGGGATGACTGGAGTAAGGAGAGAAGTCATGCCTGCAGAGCTCTAGATAAAGCATCATGAGATATTTCAGCCAAAACATTCATGTTCAGGTAGAAAAGAAATGCAAAGGCTTGCTCTCTTTCAAATATGATTATATGTGTTATATATTTAAGGGCTAAAAACTGAGAGGAAGATGAGATTGTTGGTATTGAAAGCCCTTTTCCTCACTTGCAATGTATAATGAAACATCTTTATAATATCAGTGCTATAAATCTGAAATTTTAATTAGTTCAATTACTCTTGATGGCTAAGTGAGTTGGATCTTAATTTTGGTGTACATGATTACCTTAAAAGATAAAATTTGAGAGGTACCTGGGTGGCTCGGTTGAGCATCCAACTCTTGGTTTCAGCTCAGGTCATGATCTCTGGATCGTGGGATTGAACCCCGCTGTGCTCAGCGGGGAGCCTGCTTCTCTCCCTCTTCCTCTCCCTCTGCCCCTCCCCCTGCTTGTGTGTGCTCTCTCTTTCTCTCTCTCTAAAATAAAGAAAAATCTTTTTAAACAAGACAAAGTTTGATAGTGTAACTGGATCTATCCAAAAATATAGTACTACATAATTCTAGTTGATCTGATATCTGAAGTGATTATTTTTACAGCATTGCAATCTTGAGAAGGATGAGACAAAGAAATCCAGTGGTGAAGACAACAGAAAATAAAAATAGAATAAAAAAACAACATTAGAGCCTTGAGCCTTGATGTAGAATCAACACAAGTATTTGGAAATGGTATCATAGTCTCAAATACAGGAATACATATTTTCTGGAAAAAATACTGTACCCAACTCACCGTCTCCAAGCAATTGAAACTTCCCTATACAATTATGTAAGAGGAAAGTCTGGCTCAATCAATCCCACCATTCAGAGTTCTTTCATCAGAAATGATGTAATATGTCAGCATGATATCTACCTCTGTCAGCAAGTCCAGAAAAGCCAATCCAAATAAACACCTCGATGTTCAAGCATTTTCCAAGTTTCATCCTGGGAGGTTGCTTTTTAACTGCAGCTTGCTGTAGTGGGTGAATTGTTTTGACTTTAGTGCTAACGTCCTGTGGGCCTCCAATTAATACATATGGTATTTGAACTTCAAAGTGAGTGTGTGTTTATGTGTGTATCTGTATCTGGCTGGTGGAAAGGAGGCAAGGAGGCCTAATTCTTGGCACATAGTAGGTGTTTAATACAAGTTTGTTAAATGAAACAGGATGGAATAAACACAGAAATGAAGAGTTCTCATATAAAAGTCATTCTGGCTGTAAGAACTTGTACCCTTTTGTAAATGCTGCCCAGAATATTAAACTCCAATGGAGTGTTTCCCAAACATCCTTTGTTAAAAATCCCCCTTTTAAATTTTTCTACATAAGTTTGTTCTTTCACAGTGTTTATTTTCCTTTGTAGTATCTACAGACATCTGCTCTTTTCCCATATCCTTCCACCACAAATAATTGCCTACTCTGCCAGCTCTTCTCAGACTGTCCCTTCTCTTGAAATTCTTAAACAGTCTCAGTTTCCCAACGCCTCCACCCTATCACCATCATCTTCTGGCTCTGTTTTTTACAGGATGAAAAAGCTGCAGAACCTCAGGAGTCCCTGGACCCCATTGTGGGAAAC